AAGATTTTCTTTTGTTCAAGACAAACCACGTTAATTTTGTTTGTTTCATTTTAAATTGGGCATAACAAAAGATGGACTTATGTGTTTGAATGTCTTTCTTCTTAAGTATTATGAGTTTGCACGCTCTTGGATTGCCATTGGTTTACTCTAGGATACACCTATGCTAAGGTAGTTGTATTAGAAGTCATAAGGCCTGTTGAACCTAATTTCACGGTAAGATGGTGTTGTTCTCATTAGGGGATTTGAAGCCCTAAAGGCAGCTATTGTAACCCAATGTGAGTTTCATTAATCAAGCCTTTAACATTCTTGTATGAGTGGCATAGGATCCTTACTAAGCCAAGCTTAAACTCAAGAACTTGATGTCTAGCTATTGAGATCGCAACCGAACTAAATCTAGGGATGAAAAAGGCATTTTCTTTGGGTGACTATTTTAATTTTTTAAGGACTTGTTTTTCTTTTTGTTGCTCTTTTGTGTTTTTGTTTGCATTTTTGCCCCTTGCTAACCATGTTGAGCCTATCCCACCTTGTTTATAAGCACGTTACAAACCTCAAAGCCTTTTTATTTAATTTTTTACCCTTAAATTTTTGAAGCTTTTAGATCATGAAAGTTTGTTGTAACCCGGTTTGAAAGTTGGAAAGTTGATAGTTCGAAATGGAAACAAGGTTGTGTTTGTGATTGTTAGTTTTAATAAAAGCAAGTGCAAATTAAAGAAAAACCTGTCTACAGTTAAAAGAGGCAATGACATTTCAATAAAAGTTGGTAAAAGCAAAAGTTCAAAAAAAAAAAAAAAAAATTGAAAATAGGTGAAAAGAAAAAAGTTACAAAAGTAGTCATGGGCATGTTGATTGAAGTTTATGGTATGTTCATTTGAAAGATGGAAAACGTTTAATGTTGAACTTGAAGCTTTGATCAACCTTTTACTTTAAAATTAGGCTTAGTACCAATTTCCTAATGATTCTACACCCTTACCCCTAACATATGTTACAACCCTTTGAAGTCCTTTTAACTTAGGTTAGTTGAGTAAATACTCGGTGGAGGGAGCTAGATTTCAAGCATATGGAGAGAGCATGACTTGGTAAGATGTTAGGTTTCCCTTGTTTCTATTGACTCATATTTGTTGTGGCTCCTTCATGGAGTCATGTGATGTTACCTTGAAGGGTGGATTTGAACCTTGACGAGAGAACGCGGTAAGATTGTTTAGAATGCGGGGGGAGTGGAACATGTTAGAGTTCTCTATGCTTAGCATACCTCATCCTTCAATCAACCTTTGGCATCTGCTTGCGTGCTCAAATCTGTTGCTTAGAACGCTAGTCAATCATTTATACTTACTATCTTTAAAAGTTCAACTTGATCATGATTTGTGTTGTGATTGTTGTTTCTCTTTGTTTCCTCTCTTTCTTGTTTTAGGTTTGTCTTGAACACATTTTGCAAGAGTTGTGGGTTAACCTCTTTGGAAACCCTCATGAGAGCATACTCATCTTCATTGGCGACATTGGGGTTTAAAAGGCTTATTGTTAATGCTAAAAGTAACCACGATTTCTTTGTAGTGAGTTAGTGTAAATAGTGGTTAGTGTTTTGTAGCTCTTCCCTTGCTTGAGGACACACAAGAGGCAAGTGTTAGGGAAGTTGATGAGTGGTATTTATACCACAATTTGGAGTTCATTTTGATGGTTTTTTTCCCATATTTGTCACTTGTTTGTTCTCTCTTTTAGGCTTTTTCCCACTCCTCTTTATATTCACTCTTTTCTTAGTTTTTCCCTAATTTTTATCCTTTTCTATCTTTGTCTATTTCTTTTTTGTTTGTGTAGGTGAGCCTTGATGATTTGTACAAGGGGAGGAGCTTAGAAGTGAAGTTCATGGATCAAGGAGCGCCCATGGAGAGAGCACGCAAGTAAAGGTTTCGCGGGCACACATTGTTCATGCGCGGGCACGCATTCTTGAGTAGATGAAATGAGGTTTGAGGCAGTGGCTCAACGCGCCTGTGTCACGACATCATAGAGGGCGCGTCAGTATTATCTTGCAGGCGCTTACCTTGAAGCATTGATTTTGAAGCTTGGAGGCATAAGCTCAACGTGCCTGTGTCACAACTACTAAGAGGGCGTGCTCCTATTCTGCGCGGGCGCGCGTCGTGATTCAGTGTTGTAGCAGATTTGAGGCAGAAGGTTGCGCGCCTGTGTCACGATCACATCGTGAGTGCGCAATACACAAGCACGAGTGAATCGATTCCAGCGCGGGCGCGATTTTCTAGGTCTGCTTGCTTCCCCATACCCAGAAGAGTGCGCGCACAAGATACTGCAAGGGCACGCTTGATAAGTCGTTTCCCCTTATTTTAGGTCTCTTGTATAAATAATTTTAACACCCCCCCCCCCCTTAGAAATTAATTAGGGTTTTAGTATAGATTAATTCCAGCAATATTAAAGAGGAGAAACACTAAGTCTTGTGATTTTGAATGATTTTGTAAACAACTTGAAGATGAATGAAGCTCCATTAGTAATTTCTATCTGTTATCTCTTTATTTACTTGCTTTATTTTCCTTATTTTGCTTATTAATCATGTTAGCCCTTGTTGATTGTATGATTAGCTTGACTTTCAATATGATTAGTGAATAGTTCCTCAACTAAGGAGATAATTATCTTAGCTTGATCTTGAGCATGTTCGGGGATTGGGATTAAAGGTTGTTTAGTGATTAAAGTCTTTGTCTTTCATGATTTTCCAACTATTTTTCTTGAATGGCCAATCATAATCACGAGTAGCTAAGTTTGCTTGCTTCCCATGTCTTATCCTTTTAAGTGATGGAATTGCTTGACCCATTTCCTTAGTGTTTTTACTATTTGAATTCCCCTTAAATTAATCATAGTTTGCTTAGTATTCAATCCCATATTTAAGTTTTCGAGCTAGCTTAGTTGTTGATAATGCTTTGTGGTGCTTAACGTCTCAACATGGTTTGACCCTTTACTTGTCTTATACTTGTATTAGGTTTGTTTAGAAGATTTTTTCATTTGATTTAGGGTAGATAGTAACGAGCTATTTATTCATTCATCATCTATCTAGCAACATATTTTATGATAAAATATATTTTTATTATGTTATTATTAAATTATGGTCAAAGTTAATATATATATAGTGAAGAAAGTCAACGTCTCAGTTATTTTGGGATGGAGTGAGTAGTAATCATCCTAACTAGTCGATATTCAAAACATGACGCCATATGAAACCCTAATTGCATTAGCTGTATCAGCTCAAACCTTACTCTTGTTATCTTCTATTTTATTCAAACAAATAAAGCTCCAACACCCAAAAAGATTCATCCTAATTTAAGAAGTATCATGCATTTGAGAAAACTAGATATTACCTCTATTTCTCATAATGATAACGTGAAACGGAAGTAATACAATAGAACTGACATATTCATCCACTGACAGTAATATGCTAGATTATAAAATTCATGGACTCTTTTTATCCAATAAATAACGCAAGTTAGACAATAAATTTGTTTAGGACATGATATAGTAGAAACCTAGAAATATGCGTTGTTAGCCAACAGGACACATATGACGTACACGTACATGACATACCCATGTCATATCATATGAGTGGCCAATTGACCAAATTGGTAAATTAAAAATACCCCTAACAATAACTTGGTAAATAAAATAGCTCCGACGACAATTTGGTAAAAAATGCTAACCTCAAACGACAATTTGGTAAAAAAAAAATCATTTCAGGCGAAAATTAACCCAAAATATACAAAAAATTCCGACAAACTATTCGCAAATACTTAATTTAGTTCGTTTTTTGTGGTTTTCTTACCTAAATCTCCAACCCCTTTTTCGGAATTAACAATTTGAAGAAGAATTATTGTTTAATTAATTTTAACGTAATTTTCCTACCCTTATTATCGAATTTTTAAATGGGGTTGGAAATAAATTTGATCGGGATATAGCAAAATAAAAGGAGTTAACATTAATTTAAATTTAAAAATGGGAAAAATAATTTTAAAAAATGCAATAACGAATTAAGTTAGGAAAATTTGAAAACTTTGTCCCGGAAAAAAATTAGATATTTTGGCCTAAATATCACTTGAGACTAATTTTTTTACCAAATTTTCACTTGGAGTTAACTTTTTTACCATATTGTCACCGAAGTTATTTTTTTACCAAATTGTCGCTTGGGGTCTTTTTTATTTACCAATCTGGTCAATTGACCGAGAAAAGTCCATCTACGTAATAGGGATAAAAATAGGAGTGCAACTAGAAGCATAGCAGCAATTTATTTAGGATGCATATCGGAAGGCTAACCGGTAAATTCACATAACACTGGATAATTTTTGTAGTTTATAATGATTACAGTGGTATTTTATATTATACATGTATTTTATACAATTAGAGTATAAATTGTCTTAGTAGTACTATTTATAGGTAACAGTGGTACAATATTTGATGTACAATTTATATACTTATTTGTACCACTAGAAAAACATTTATAGTATTAAAGCATTTAATGATAGTATTTTACCTATTTAATAGTATTTTATACCAATGTTTATACCAAGTATTTACGACTCATCCACCACTCTTTTGTCTTATTCATGCTATTTACAAAGCAAGTTAATAACATTTATGCGCCAAGAGTTCTCCTAAAATTAGTTGTTTCTTGGTTTGTTTTCATGTTCCCTATGTCTACAAACTAATTTAAGACTATAATAGTGCAATGAATCTCGTACAACGTTGTATGTCTAGTTGTCAATTAAAAGCTTCTTAGCTTAACACTCAAATAAATCAAATATCCTTTTCAATTTCAAAGCATGCAATAATTTTCTACTTTGCTCAAAATCAGGAAACAATTATTTAAGAGATCAAACCAACTTCTTCCACTTACAATGTACGCCAGATTACAATTCACAAATTGTTCCTTTCGTCTAAAATACCCAACGCCGGATACTTTTGACACTTAGATCATGGATTTCAAATGGAGACTTAAATTCCAGAAATTCAACACAACCAGCCAACACTAGGACATATACATACCATGACAAAATCATATAGAGTTAATCCATGTAAAAAGGCAACAAGTTAGCTAATCTTTCACATTTAGCACTAAGTTCTATTACCACAAAAACTTTCTTAGCTTAAGATCACAAATAAACTTAATACCCCTTTCGAAACCCGAACACACAACAATTTCCCCCACCAAAAAGAACAACTAAAATGAAAATTAAAATTCTTGGTGAGCATAAACATTTGTATATTTAGAAGATAAATCCTTTAAAATTTGAACTAAACCCTTCAAATCATTACTACCCACCTCAAGACAATCTTTCAAAAACTCACCCTCCATTTCTTCCTTCAATGTCTCCACCAATTCTCTCAATGGCCCCTGCATTTCAAAATTCAAATTTCACAATCCCACCTAAACAAACAATGATTTCCACATACCACTCCTAATCCACCAAGTAAAACATTAAATCGCAAATTAGAACATACACACAATCACCTGAACAATAATAATCTCGAAATACATGACAAAATCACGCGTCGAAAATACTTTAAAAGGAAATAAAAACTCACAGATTTGCTGAAAATTGAGAGCAACCGATTGAACATAGATTTGGAAACACGAAGCAAATTCCCGTAATGGCGAGCAACCCAAGCAGCTCTCTGAGAATCGGACTTCAATCGACCCAACTCACCGAGTGCACTCAGCAACTCGTTAAAATCAGCGGCGATTCCAAAAGCATCTTGAAACGACGTCGTATCACGCCAAGCATAGTTCCTGAGGTAATCCCAACCCATTGACCAGATTGTTGGCCAGAACCTAAGGCTAAGACCATGGTCGAGCTTGGTGGCTATGAGGCGAGCACGGCGAGCACCGTCGACATCGCCTCGGGCGGCGCGAAGGGTGGCGACGCGGGAGGAGAGAGAGTGTGAGAGGGATAATATGGTGCGGAGTTGAGCGTAGGAGATTATGGCTTCGGTGGGTTGAGGAGGGTTGAAGAGGAGGAGGCAGAGGATGAAGAGAGAGAGTTTTGCCATTTGGATTTATTTGGGTTCATACAAATTTTCCCATCCCGCAACAATGGTGGGAAAATGAAAATTTAGGCCTGTCGGGTCGTAATCTCCCACAAGTTCTCTTAATTCGGGCTAGCATGTTAGACATTTTGGGAGTGGGGGGAAAAGTAAAGATAATTTCTATCCTAAAGTGTTTCTAGTGGGGTTTACTCCATAGACTCATAGTTGTGAGATTCAGGGGATTTGTTAAACGTCGCCCGCAAATCTCCACATAAAGCCCACAAATATTTTTACTTTGACTCTTTTGCCCTTTTTCTAATTTTTACCGAAACCGTAATTCACTCTCACGAAGAATGTGGAGCTGGAGTGGATCACCGAGGGACACCGAAGAGCCGTCATCGTCGCCGGAAAGCGAGATAATCCGGGGGAAAAATTACGAAAAGTAGGGGTGGCGTCTGGTCAGGACGCCGCCACCATGGCTGTGGCGTCCTGGCCAGACGCCGCAACCATGGCTGTGGCGTCCTGGCCAGACGCCGCAACCATGGCTGTGGCGTCCTGGCCAGACGCCACCCCTACTTTTTGTAATTTTTTTTTTTTTTTTGTAATTTGTTATTTTTTTTCTTTTTTTTTGTAATTTTATTTAAACTTTTTGTAATTTTTTTTAAATTTTATTTAAAGTTTTTGTTTTTTTAATTAAACATTAACACAAAAAATTCTGATTTAGAAAAAAATATATACATTAAAAATAAAAACATTAACACATAAAACAAAAATATTAAACATTAACAAAAGAATTCTGATTTTCCAAAAAAAAAAATATTAGACAAAAAAAAAAAAAAAAAAAAAAAAAAAAAAAAAAGTGGTAGGGCGCCTGGCCAGGACGCCCAGCCCCTGGTGGTGGCGTCTGCTCCGGCCGCCGGAACCAGGGGGCTGGCGTCTGACCTGGACGCCCAGCCACGGCGGTGGCGCCTCTGGAAAACGCCACAACCGTGGCTAGGCGTCCAGGTCAGACGCCAGCCCCCTGGTTCCGGCGGCCGGAGCAGATGCCACCACCAGGGGCTGGGCGTCCTGGCCAGGCGCCCCACCTCTTCTGTTTTTTTTTAAATTTTTTTTTTTTTAAAAAAACCCTGCCACCGTGAGCCGTCCTTCCCTCCGCTGTGGCCGCCAAGTCCTTGCCTTGCCGCCTCAACATTGCCGTATTTTCGGGTGATTAGAGTGTGGGTATGGGTTAGATTTTTTTATTTTAGGTTTAGGGCAATAAGGTAAATTCAATATAGATTTGTGGGCTTTATGTGGAGATTTGCGGGCGATGTTTAGCGATCCACAGATTCAGACCTTACCAATGATTAAAAACTTAACTAAGTATTGCAATGTGATTGGATGAAACTTTAAACGTTAATATTTAATTTTGATCTATATTTTAAACTTAAAACTAAATAAAAAAAACCATTTTTAAATTCTAAAATTTCATGTTTTGAAATTCGAAAATTAATTAGTCTAATTTCAGAAAATCATTTTTTATTTTCATAATTAATTTCCGAATCATAATTTGGTTAACAATTTAACTAAAAAAAATAAGTTAAACAAAAACAATTACTCTTTATTATTTTTCACAAAATCAAAATTATTTTCAAAAAAATTTCGATTATATTTATCGAATCGTTCCATATTTTATTTCAAATGATCCATTTCGTTCATCTATTCATTCATATCATTTTAGCTTTGTCAATTTTTGAGGATTAGGGATGTATTCTTCAAAATTTCAAGAACAATGGATTAATAATATTTGGTTAACGATATATAAGCCACATACATCTTTGGATGTTTCGTGGTCGCCGGATTTACAGGGATTTAGTGTCAAATAATGCTGTTTTTTCGATTGGGTAATCAAAAAGACAAGCGGTTGATTTTTTTTTTTTTTTTTTTTAATTTTTTTTCATCCAATTTTGATATATAAATCTATACTTGGTTTAACTTTCGTGAAACTGTTTGTCGGTATGATAATGATCACCTAAATGACTATAAACAATTTACAATAAGTTTTAGATATGATGATAATTTGTGAGATAAAAGTTAATTGTGCAATGTATAAACTATATTAAGATAAGTAAAATTAAGAAAAACTAATAATAAAATAGTAAAACCTAAATAAAATGTAAAGCATATAATGCTCCTAAATTTTCTATCACTATTTATTTAGGATGAGTTTTTCCTATATATTGATATCATTTTCAATATAAGAGAATATAATAAAAGAAAACATATTCTTCGGTATTATTTCATTTTCAAGAATAAATATAAGTAGGTGCGGCAGCTCTACTCGTTTCTCATATAGTTTATAAATATTACTTATTAATCTGATCCAATCACCCATTATACTTCCGCTGTCTCCAACAAATTTGGTATCAGAGCCGGAATAATTATATCATGGCTTCCAGTACATCAATACCATTTTTCTCTTATTCCCAACCGACACTTCCTATCTTTGATGGAGAACATTATGACTATTGGAGTAGTCAAATGCAAACATTCTTTATATCCCAAGATTTATGGGAGCTCGTGGAAGGAGGCTATGAAGACCTTCCAGAAAATCCTAATGAAGCACAACAAAAACTACACAAGGAAAACAAGAAAAAAGATGCACTTGCTTTACGATACATTCATGCAGCCGTGAGTAAAACTATATTTCCCCGCTTATATGGATTGAAAAAATCCAAAGAAGCTTGGGATACATTAAAACAAGGATTTCTAGGAAATGAAAAAGTTGTTGCTGTTAGATTACAAAATCTATGGAGAGATTTTGATAACCTGGAAATGCAAAAGACAGAAAATATCCAAGTTTATTTTTCACGAGTCACGGAAATAGTTAATCAAATAAGAAGTCTCGGTGATACATTAGAAGAAAAAAGAGTTGTTCGAAAAGTATTAAGAAGTATGACAGAAAAATATAATTCTGCCACATTTATAATAGAAGAGTCTAAGGACTTGTCAACTCTCACAATGCATGAGTTGATGGGATCTTTGGAATCACATGATCAAAAATTGAAAAGAAATGCAAATACCGATCAACTTGTAGATCAAGCGTTTCAATCCCAACTTAACATATCAAACAAACAATATCAAGGAGAGTCAGAGAAAAGAGGGGGAAACCAAAGAGGACATCAATATGGTAGAGGCCGTGGTACCCAAAATTTTAGCCGTGGCCGAGGACAAAGTAGAGGAAGAGGTCGCGGACAATATCAAAATTATCAACAAAGGTCAAATAATTCTTGTCGTATTTGTGGTAAGTCTAACCATCAATCATCTGAATGTTATTTTAAATGTAAGAGATGTCGTAATTCAAATCATTCTCAAAAAGATTGTTGGCATCAAAATGGAAATAATACAAATGAAGCGAATTTCACCGCTAACGCTGAAGGTGAACAATTATTTCTTACGTGCATGGATGAACAAAATAAGTCTAGCAATTTATGGTTTCTCGATAGTGGTTGTAGCAACCACATGACAGGAAATAAGGACATGTTCATCAAGTTAGATATGGGTGTAGCAAATCAAGTCACCTTAGGTGATGGAAAAAAGGCAAACGTCGAAGGACGAGGAGTCATTGTTGTTAATAGCAAAGCAAATAACACAAAATACATACATGATGTTCTTTATGTGCCTAATTTGACACATAATCTCCTAAGTGTTGGGCAACTTGTTCAACGAGGATATTCAACAAATTTTGACAATGGGGAATGCATTGTTACGGACAAAAAATCTGGTAATATATTGGCGAAAGTAAAAATGGCTGATAATAAAGTTTTCCCGCTTCATATGCCACAAAAGAAGCTGGCATTGCAAGCCAATGTTATGGATGAATCTTATCTATGGCACTTACGATATGGACACTTGAACCAAAAAGGATTACAATTATTGAAACAAAAAGACATGGTCGTGAGATTACCACACATTGATAGAAATATTCAAGTTTGTGAAGGATGTATATATGGAAAAATGCATCATCTTCCATTCCCAAAAACTTCATGGAGAGCTAAAGCTCCTCTTGAATTAGTACATGCAGATATATTTGGCCCCACAAGAAATCCTTCTCTACAGAATAAGAGGTATTTTCTATTATTTGTCGATGATTACACTCGTATGATGTGGATATATTTTATTGATCAAAAGTCAAATGCTTTCAATGTATTTCTCCAATTTAAAGCATTAGTTGAAAGACAAAGTGGTTATATGATAAAGACATTGAGAACTGATAGAGGGGGTGAATTTATATATAACCCTTTTATGGAGCATTGTAGAAATGAAGGAATAAAAAGACAATTGACAGTCTCACGAACACCTCAGCAGAATGGTGTAGCAGAGAGAAAGAATCGCACAATTGTAGAAATGGCAAGAAGCATGATGGAAGAAAAGACTCTTCCTAAAACATTATGGGCTGAAGCTGTAAATACAGCTATTTACATACTGAACTGTTCACCAACTAAAGCAGTTAGTAACAAGACTCCTTATGAAGCTTGGAATGGTAGAAAACCGGTTGTTAGTCATTTAAAAGTTTTTGGATGTATTGCATATGCCTTAAACAAAGATCAAGGTAAAGACAAGTTCGATCTCAAAGAGAGAAAGTATCTTTTTGTGGGATATAGTGATGAATCAAAAGGCTATCGTCTCTTAGACCCACAAGCTAAGAAGCTAATAGTCTCCAGAGACGTTATATTTGAAGAATCGGCAAAATGGAAATGGGATGATGAAATAGTTCATTTTCCTGTGCAAGAAGAAGCTATAAATTCTCGTAACCCAGCTCCAACAACAATAAATAATGAAGCAAACAGTCCGCATAGATCTCCTAATAATGTGTCAAATACACAAACACAAGAAACCTCATCTTCTCCACTTTTAAATCAACCAGGAAGAATTAGAAAAAGGCCTTCTTATTTGGATGATTACGAGTGCTATTTATCTAAAGCAAATGACACGGAAACATTAGCTTTATTTGCAAGTGAGCCTTCGAGCTATAAAGAAGCATCAAATGACGATGTTTGGATAAAAGCAATGGATGAAGAAATTGCTATGATTGAGAAAAACAAGACATGGGAGCTTGTTGATTACCCTGAAGGTAAAGATATTATTGGTCTAAAATGGGTTTATAAAACAAAACTAGACCAAGACGGAAATATTCAAAAACATAAAGCAAAGCTTGTTGTCAAAGGATATGCTCAAAAATTCGGAGTTGATTTCAATGAAACATTTGCTCCAGTAGCTCGTATTGAAACCATTAGGACAGTGTTAGCCATAGCTGCACAGAAAGAATTATATGTTTATCAGCTTGATGTGAAATCCGCATTTCTGAATGGTGTATTAGAAGAAGAAGTGTATGTGGAGCAACCACAAGGTTATGAAATTCAAGGGCAAGAAGATAAAGTTTATCGTTTGCATAAAGCGCTCTATGGGCTTAAGCAAGCGCCAAGAGCTTGGAATAGTAGAATTGACAAATATT